GGTTGCAGGACTTGTGCTCAGTTGCGAAGTGCGAATCTACTGTCATTTATTTTCCAATCGTCGGCGGCGGTTGCAGGACTTGCGCTTATTTGCGAAGTGCGAATCTACTCTCACTTATCGACCCACATGAATGACGTGTAGAAAATAAGTCGACATTAGACGGCGGTTAGAAAACTTGCGCTCTTTTGCGATGTGCGAACCAATTACCAATTATCGAACCCTTTCGTGCATATAACATTCCTGGAATTTTTGCTTATGCACTTGCAAGAATCGCAACTAGCGCGCTTCCTTGCATTTCTCCGCTGATGCAGAATGGATATCGGGAGTTCGTCGCAGAGTAGGAAGTCCTCAGCCCCGGATTTCGATCTAATCATTTTGTCGAAGAACATTTGGGAAGACATTGGACGCTCTGGTCTGGACCGTGACTACCTGCACCTCGAAGATGATGTTGCCCCGGACGGGGAAATCCCTTTGTGGTAAGGTGCGGAAGAAGGACAAGTTCGGATTTGCCGTGATGTATGGTCGAACTTTTGATACCTGTACACTCTGATGAAGGATGTACAGGCATACCCTATCAGGTTGGAGTCACTTCTGAAGAGGGAACGCCTTGAAGAGGAACCCGTCCAAACTTCTAAGATGGTTGAAGCATGGCACATTTTATGTGAGAAACTTAAGTGGGCGTCGTTGGACAAGTTGCATTAAAAACTGTGTGCCTGGTTTTACCTCGGCCAACCGACGAAGTCGGCGCCGGTGATCATAGACTACTTCGGTCGAGCGAGGGTGTGTAATCGAGGCACCACCGTCGTGACGCTCTTCACTGCCGTGAAGGTGGACGATCGACGAATGAGAGCTCTTTTTCTCGCAAGGGAGGAATTTCACGGTGTCAAGCTCACTTTTTTTCAAGCGTTTCACACATCCGGCCCTACTGGTTCCCTTGCACGGTTCAAAAACAGGCTCGCCATAGATCAAGCACTCAAAGATGAGCTGCATTTGCGGGTCGACTGTTTAGTGCACCAACAACTTCACTACCTCTTCGATAGCTGCGACGAAATAAATTTCACAGTCGAACATAGGGACAACGAATTGTCATTTGTTTACCGCCATCTGGATTATTCAGCCTCCGGACCTCAGGAAGTGACTCTGCGCAACGGGAAGACGAGATATGTGTGCGATTGCCCTTACTGCGATGCTGGACATCTACATCTTTACTAGCGGCGTTCTGAATTAGTTGCTTCGTCTTTTCTCTAGTACGAATAGACTCGCACTATGCTTACAGCCCGTCCCCTTCGGTATACCCCGTTGCATGACAAACTGTCTATCTAATTACGAGTTCATTCGCACTTTGCCAACATCAGACGGTCTCAACTTCGCCGTTTACCCACCTCTCCGTACATGACAATGGCGTTGTTCTCTTTTCTGATGCAGGATGTCGTCTGGAAGTTTCAGTGGGACGGTCGTTGTCAGAGACCTGGGCTACTGCGAAAGTCTGCGTAGTGCAGTTGTTACCGCAGCTGAGAACATTTATGGTTTAGAGTGGTTTGGCAACATTGGGCTTCCCACATACCGCTACCTTCCGGTCCCCGAAGATGTTCACGCTCGTGTCCAGCCGTCTGTTTCGCCCCCGCCTACCCCAGCTTTTCAGTACACTGTGATGGCCACGCTACGCGACAGGCCCGTCTTCAGAATTGATTTCTACATTGCGTCCGAAGGGGAGTTGAGAAGTTGTTTGTATTATTCGTACGTAACCAGCACATCTTTCGATAGAATGCCAGAAGGTTGTGAGCCTGCCATTACGTTTTTCTTATCGATCTTCATCATGCATATTGCCTCGTGCTTGGATAGAGAATTATTCCTTATATCCGGCGTGAGAGAAAATGATGACAGTCCTCCGTTCTGGGGAGACCGTTGTCCGTTCCAAATCCGTCACTGGAGCAATTTGAATCGAGTTTTAAGAGATTTACTCATGCGTGACTTGCCGAATATCGA